CACTTTGTCCATAACTCCTCTTCTTACAAATCTTTGGGTGCCCCTGGGAGCCTATCTCAAGTATGTCAACTTAGAGCTTATATGCTCATACAAGCTTTTTTATTATTTCTATGTGAGAAAACCAAAACACGGCAACCCACATTTGTTTCTTCAACTTCCTATTTCACGAAATCAAAAACGACATCAACTTCCCATACACCCATAAATGGTTTTGACGAACCGTTTTCACTGTGTGACTTACCATGCGACAAAGAACACGTCACCACTTAGACCCACCCCAAAAGATGTGTGGGCACTACTTAAATTCGGACTCAAATTTGGCCCAAAATAAGCTTATTAAACCAAAATTTCCAACTTCTTCAGCCTCTATTCCATTAAAGTTAAAGCTAAAACCCTAATTGGTCTAGTGTTTGAGTGCAAAGAGGAGGATCTGAGAGCATCTTCACAAATCTCGGTCAACTTGCCACTGTTCGAACCGTCACCGTTGTCACAACTAAAGAAAATCGGAGTCATCATCATCAACGCTAGTCTAGCTTGGCTCTTAGTCCAAACTCTATTTGCCTCGCTTCTGGATCTATGGATCATTCTGTCGAGCTTGCCTTTGTTTTCTAAGGAGATGGTTTTGGTAGTGGTGGTAGGAGATGACGGCGTTAGCCGCGGGTCTGGCGGCATCGGGTAAGAGAGAAAGAGAGATAAAGACGGCCAAGGAGAACTAAAGACAAATAGAGAAAAATAAAGAGAGAGAGAGAGAGAGAGAGAGAGAGAGAGAGAGAGAGAAGTTCTAGTGAAGCAAATAGGAATGGAGAAAAGTTTCTCTCTCTAAACCAATTGAACATATACATGTGTCACAATTTAAACAGATAAAATAAAATGGATAGTTTAGTCATTTCGTAAAAGAATGTTTTTATGGACTAAATAAGTTAGCACGTGAATTGTTCGACAAAGCAAATTCAAAATTTGATTGTTAGACTAAGCATCCAAAATTTTGTACTTTTTAAATATATCAAGATAAAGTGAATCTAAAAAGTAATAAAAAAAATTGATTAAAACATTTTTAAAAATCATTAAAAATATAAAAATGCGAATTGAAAACCCAAAAAATTATTTTTAAAAACTTGAAACCAACCAGTGTGGAAATTGTAGTATGTAAACTTCATGAGTTTCTATTTGTACACCTTGCTACTTATTGCAAGTTTACCCGTTCCAGCTGCTTATATAGTTAGGGGTGTAAAAATGGTTTGCCGACAGAAAGCCCCCCGCGGCCCAGGCCTGAGCTTAGCCCAAACCCCCAGGCCTGGGCTTGGGTCATGTATTTTCTAGCCCAATCCAACCCGAAGCCCGGCCTAAGGTCCGCCCGACATCCAACGTTATTTTCAAGCTATTTTAGTGGAAATTTTTTTTTTTAAATGGTTAGGCCAGACCTAGGACCACTAACCCTCCCAAGCCCTGAGTACCCCATGGGCCTGGGCCTAGGCTGAGATTTTGCATGAGTAGATGGACCCAATTTTTGGCAGGAGCCCAATAAATTCAATTGTTGATCAGCCTGAGCCGAGTGAGCAAGGCCAGGCCGGGCCGTTTAGTGAGGAAGAAATTATTTTGATGAAATACTCTTGTTAATAAATAATTTTTTGTTTTGTTTTTTACATGCCTTCGCAACCTTCATTCCTTATTAAAATAAGAGTCATGTTACAAGTAACCACATTTTGTGACTAACATACAAAAGATGGTGTTGGTGCTAAAATTTGGAAATTTTCTGTCGACAGGTCGTTGATGTGCAAGATTGGTTAATGTGGTTGACATGGCATAAGGATGTGTTAAGGATGAGTTAAAAGACTCTTTTAGAATGATAAGGAAGATAGCGACAGAGAATCAAGGAAGAGATCAAAAGCTCAAGGAAGTAGTTCCTAGAATGTTAGGATAAATATGTAGGAAGATAGAGAATCAATGAGGATCAGAGCTAAAGCCAAATGCCAAGTACAAAAGAGAGCTGAGTGCAGAGAGGAAGGGCATCATCCAGAACCACTCACCAATCGTAAAAAACTATTTAGGAGTAGTTTAAATTAGCGATTTTAGAAGTAGATTAAGTAATTTTCCAACCCTCACTTCTCTTCTTTGTCGATTGCTATATTTTTCATTTTTTTGTTTTTATTTAAGTTCTTGTAACTAGTAACAAGTGATAATTTAATTGAATAAATACATATTCTATTCAATTCTTCTTTACTTAATTACCTTTAAAGAAGTGTTTAATCTGTTTAAGACATAAAACTCAACCACAAAGCCTGATTTTTATTTGTGTTTATTTAAAATTTGTTTAAGGTTGTTGATCAATCACTGTCAATTGGGCCTAAACTAAATTTTTGCTAATATAAATTGGCACATTTAGTAGGACCACTCTAACTTGGAGTAATGGCAATGAAGAAACAGATTAATGCGTATGAAATTATGCCTTCAAGTGACATGTTTACATCTTGTGAACCCATGGATGCAATTGGCAGTGTTCCCATGGATACAGATTATCAATGGAATGCCTCATATTCTAAAAATTGTCAATGTTATGGTGGTAGTTCTATCGCTTATTACTAACATAATGGCATGACAAATGATATGAAAATAATGATTTGCATTGTAAAGATGAAATTTATTGGTATGGAAGTGAAATTTTAACCCTAAAAGAATAAAGTAATTATCTTTATATGCAAAGATTTCAAATAATTTCATGATCTATGTATTATTTGACGCAAAGAGATTTAAATTATTGAGATGGAAAATTTCATTGACTTAAAGGCCAAAATTTTTTAATTGATGAAGAAATTCTATATTGGAAGCAAAAATTAGGAGGCATAATGGCCAATGAAAATTAAGATACGAAAATAATGTAGCTCAAAGGGTTAATACACATATTTTGGAAGAGCTAATCATTCATGAAGAGCCAAGGTATGTGGCTCGAAGAGTTAGCACAAGTCATGAAGATAATATAACTTTAGAGAATTTTCATAGGCCATTAATGGCTAAAATTTTAAAAAAACAACCCCTTCTCTAAAAAAATATTGAGAATTTTGATAAAGGTTCACTTGGAGGGGCATGATTTTAAGTCAAAAAAGGCTGAAACTTGTGAATATAGGAGGCATGATGTTTTGCCAAACGTGACAAAAAGTGACAAGCCATTAATGGCTAAAAAAGAAGAACAATACATTCTCTCAAAAAATGTTAAAAATTCATTACAAAATGATGGTGAAAATTCACTTGGAGGGCATGATTTTAAGTCAAAGATGGCTGAAAATTATGAACTTGGGGGGCATGATTTTAAGCACAAAATGATTGAAAATTATAAACAACCCACGTTTGTTGAGTGTGAATTTTGTGACATTATTCAAAGTATCAAACATAATGAATTTTTATGATATTTAATTACGTGAGCTTTGGAATTCAACATCCACTTTGAATTTGTGGATCACACCAAAAATTAATTTTTATGACATGGTTTGAAAAACAGTAATGGTTGAAGTGTGTTATATGTAGTGAATTCTCTTTAATTGGCCAAAATGTGACAACCAGAGAATTGTTTTATTTTAAAAATAAGGAATGTGGCTCTCTGCTATTTCACTTGATAAAGCCAAAGATAGGGTGTTTGCCAATCGACAGTGATACATTAAAAATTACTATGGGTATAAAATAATTCTTCAAGAATTCTAATTGTTTGTACCATAAAATATTTTTTGTCGATTATGGTAAATGGCCTTATAATTATTTAATTGGATTTCATTCTTTAATCCATTTAAATGAGGGAGGCATTGTTGGCACCACATTTTATTTTTTGTCGATTGTGGCCTATTAATTATGGCCAAATTCAATTATGGTTTGTCGATTGAAATCATAGACTATTTTTAAAGAATAACTCTAGCCACATTTGTTATTATTATTATTATCGACAAGTATGCTGACGTAGCATGATAGCTGACGTAGCATGATAGATGACGTTGCATGATGACATGTTAAATAGAGAGCCAAAAAGTTAGCCATTATAGCCATTTGAAAGTTAGTTGCTGAGATCAATGTGCCAAGACTAAGTCAAACACCAAATCTGCAAAGTGGTTACTATCAAACATGGGATATGGATGATGTTGAGGAAATCATGAACTTGCTAAGGAAATCGTGGACTTAGATTATTTCTTTATCTCATGTGGTTGAACTTATAAATAGGCCAAGAGAAATACAAAGAAAGGATCATCAATAATAATCCAGAACCACTCACAAATCGTGAAAAATTATTTAGTGGTAGCTTAAATTAGCGATTTTAGGAGTAGATTAAGTAATTTTTCAACCATCACTTCTCTTCTCTTTGTCGATTGTATATTTTTCATTTCTTTATTTTTGTTTAAGTTCTTGTAATTAGTAACAAGCGACAATTTAATTAAATAAATACATATTCTATTTTATTCATTCTTTACTTAATTATCTCTACAAAAGTCCTTAATCTGTTTAAGGTATAGAACTCAACCACAAAACCTAATTTTTATTTGTGTTTATTTAAAATTTGTTTAAGTCTGTCGATCAATCATTGTCGATTGGGCTTAAACTAAATTTTTGCTAACAGATGGAAAACTAATTTTGCACAAAAATTAAAAAGAAAGGAAATTTTTTTTTAAGGTCCCTGATATTAAAATTTTATAAGATGAAAGACATATAATATTTTCATAGTAATTAAGATTCCTCAACATTTTCACAAAGAAAATTCGACTCAAAGAAATTTTGCCAAACTCAGGAAAATTTCCATCGACTAAAAGAAATTTCAAAATTTCTCTGAGTCAGGGCCAAAAATTGTTTAAGTTGGGCAAAGTTTCTATGAGTCGAGCAAATTTTTCTGAGTCGAATTTTCTCTATGAAAATATTTAGGGAACTTAGCTAATAAAAAAAACATCTTGAACCTCTCCTATTACACAAGGTTGAAAAGGAATGTTTCACTAATTTTTCAAAAAAAAAAAAAATTATATATGGAATGATTGGTGTTTTCAAACTTTCCATTATTTTTTGCTTTCCAAAATAAGATATAAAGAAAATCTACAACAACACAAGTAAAATACGTGCAGTTTGTGATACACTTCAATGGCTAGAAAAAGAACAGATGGAAATAAAATATCCATAGATATTTCGCTGGGAGTCTGAACAATCTCTGAGATCATGGGCAAGGTGTTGCTAAAAGAGTACTAAAATAAGATTCCTTCATGCCATTCAAACTAAAGTATGAGAGGCTTTAGATTTAGGAGGGCATGTCGAACTGGAGGTTTCAATTTGAGTGGGCTTTGAGGAATTTGTGATCTTGAATTTGTGAGAAAACGAATTGGCAGCCCAAGATACAACAGAATCACCGGTGAATTGAGGAAAAATCATGGTTATTTTCTTGATTGAGTAATTGAGAGTCTTCATGAGCGATATATACAGAGGCAAGTATGAGAGTGCGAAGATGGTGACTGGGAGGAAAGCAGCAGTGTACAAGGCAATTTTTGTCCACTGCTCCCTATTATGTATCATAAGAATCACAGTTGCAGCAAATGCCAACATCATCATTGACACCGAGAAGATCAGAAATGTAATACCAAGCATTAGATTTTGTGGGAGAGACTGCTTAAAGTCCTTTAACCGAAACGGAGATGTGAGGATTGACAGGAATATTATCACTGATGTCAAAGCGAATGTAAGGGAAAGGACATCGGTCATGGTGAACACAGCAAAGAAAGGTTGGTTGAGGAGAAGTGGAATACCGGTCTTTTGATTGGGCCCTCCTGGTATTGTGTAGGCTGCAGCAAAGGCAACAGTGGCAATGAGCACAGCAACAAGGGAGCAGTGTTCTGCTGTACGCTTAAGCCATTCTTTGGCCTCATGGCAAAGTTTTTTATTTTTCCTAGCAAATAGCTCTTCTGCAGTGTGCCCATCAGAGTTGATGTGCTTTGTTAAATGGCTAGGGCAGATTTTCTTTACATGCTGCATAAAACAATCTGATTAGGAAACTAAATAGGCTTGGGGCGGAGAGTGGCCCACGAATCCTCTGAAGACCCAACTCAAATACCATGCTAAAAATTTTAAGGGTTAACTTGGGTGGATTAAAAAAGCAATACAAGACAAATCTCTTACAATACAAGAAATGGCTGTTTATAAGCATATGTATGGAACCATAGAAGAACACGCACCTCAAACAAGAGCATGTCCTTGCGCAATTGGAGAGCAGCACTTTGCATCTCTTGAGGCATATGATCCTTTCTCTTTTTCCCAACCATATGTAGAATTGTATTGTGATTGTGGTCGATCTTTCGCACCAGCCTCCTCATTGGGACTTCCATTTTCTCCACAATTTTAAATATCTCTATTTGGCGGTACTTTATTGCCACATGTAAAACTGTACGCCCTTTGTGATCAATATGTTCAACTGCCCATGGGTACAGCTGGATTATCTCTTTAAAGATCTCCACACAGCCTGACTTGGTTGCCAAAAACAATGGTGTTTCAGCAATCCGCTTGTTGGTAGTCTCCATACTTCTTGGTGGTTTCTGTTCTTCATTCTCTTTCTCTATTTCCTCTCGCAGAGAAGAGGTCTCTTCTCCATATTCATGGGTCTTAGGCTCATACTGATCTTCCACTCGTTTAGTAGTTCTCCATGATGTATCTTTTGTTATTAAGAACTTGGCAAGTCTCAAAGCCATTACATTTTTTTCTTTCTCCTTCCGAATTGCTTCCCACAAAGGCACTTCCCAATTCCCTGCAATGAATGGATATAAATGGATCACATCATTTTGTATGAAGTTTCGGTTTACAAATTATGTTTGTATATCATTACCCTTACATTTTTGGTCCCCCCTCAACTATGCGGCTTTTGGTCATTCCGGTCCTCAACATTTCAACTATGTCAATTTTGTGCCCAAAATATTGAATAGGGTAAGTTAGAATGACCTCCCTTGAGGTTTTTGACATAACTACACCCACCTCCCATAAATTTCAAATTTGCAAAACATTTTAGTCCATTCTGTTAGAAAAAGGTGAGCTTTTTAATCGAATCACCGTTTTATAAAATAGAACTCCAATTTTACCCTTCCTCTTCACTCTCTGCTATTTTCATCTCTCTACACTCATTCACAACCGGACCATGGCCACCCACTACCACTGCCACACCTCCCCCTTCTGTTCACCTGGCTCCCTAAATTTGGGCACCACCAATAAGGATAATAAATAATGTATAAAAGGGAAGAAAAAAAATGAAAAATGAAAAATGAGAGAACTTAGAATGGGTAAAACCCAGAGTGTTTGAGAAGCATATTCAACAGAGAACTAGCATGCACAAGGTTATAACAATATGATCAAAAAATTATAGAACAGTAGAGTTCAACAGGTTATAAAGATTTCCACTATAAACAAAAGCTTCCACAACTAGTTTAAAAAAAGGACTTCACAATATGATCAGTGCTCATCATGCACAAAGGCCATATAAAAGTTGTAGGTATTTTTCCATAATAATATTAGAAAAATATAGAAAATAAAATTAAATAGAAATGACAAAATAATTTTTTTTTTTATATTATTAAAGAATGAAATACAGAATAAACTATAGAACTAAAAATATATGTATGAAATACATTATATCATGGAACTTATTACAAGATGAATTCACGTGGACATACATAATAATATACAAGAAATAACTTAAAACAAAAGACAAGGGATGCAAATTGAAACATGTGACATACATAGTTTCCTTAAAACAGATTCGCCGTCTCACCAATGGGTGCTGGAGGCACACCGACGTCTGTCTTCCAAGATACGATAGTCGAAACCAGCTGCAGTAGAAGCAACTTCTGAATAATTTCGACGAACTTGACAATGACAACACTCTCTCTCTAAAAAGAACCAAAGAAAGAACTAGCAAAAAAAAGATAGGGAAAATTTTTTTTGGTATAAAAATCATCTCCAACTTTATTATTTCAAAACGCCATCTCATTTTCCATCTCAAAAATCTCTCCAAAATCATCCTATCAAGTTGGAGGGGAAAAACCTCTATTTATATAAGTAGGAGAGTCTCTGGCCATGGAGGCTATCATCATGAGGGCTATCAAATACCATTAACCAAGGCCATCAACCCTAACCATTATGGTTAAAATTACAAAGGTTGAAAACTTTCTTTGCATTATATATAAAAATAAATATATATAATGCTATTTGAATAATCCAACAAGATGGGTCGCAAAATAGATACGGGTGTTGGGTCACCACCTGATCCAAACTTAGTCAAAAACATATGCACAAGACAAGCTTAGCCCAGTATAGCACAACCTAGCCCATGCCTAAGACTAAGTTCAAGTCTAAACCTAAACTCAAGCCCAACTTTTATTGATATTTACTTTATGAGACAATTTCTCATTTACAACTCATTTAAAATAATATAACCCCACACGGACCCATTTCAACTGGTAGTTGGATCCCATTTTAATTTTGAATTAAAATTGTTGAAAAACCTTTATTTTCCAACATAAATGAACAAGCAGACGAGTAAAATAGATAAAACAGACAAGGGATGGCACTTATAAACCAAGCCAAAACTCAGTTGAGACTTTCGTCGAACAACTCATCGACAAACGCCACACCCTCCACACCCTCCACGATTTTCTGTAGTTCACACTCTTGGGCCCAATTAAAGCTGAAATTTCAAACCCATTTGCGTATAAACCTACACTTGCTGTTATTGATTCGAATTATGGTTCAATCTTCGAAGAAGCAGTGGGTGTTGGGTGGTGAATCGACGAAGGCAGAGGAACGGAGTTACGATGCAGATGACATGAGAATGAGGAGAAATTGGTACACAATGACTTGGTGTGCCTAACCAATGAATTTAAAAAAATGTAGAAGTTATTGACAAAGTTTTTAAAACTACTTCATGTATTGTAATTTTTTTTCTTTATATATTGTTCTCATTCATCGGGCTCACTCGTCTTCTTTGATAAAGACAGTGCAGTTTGGTAAAAATACACCTTAGTTGGTAAATTTGTCAATTCAATTGGTCCGTTAACGGTGTAGTCATGGAAGGAAGTTTATGTTAAAATTTTGAAGTTATCCTATCATCAAATATGTTTTAAAGCATCACTATTTATAGAAAAATTATTTACAAATTCACTTCTTGAATTTACTTTTTAGACCGCTAATGTGTTGGTGAAATAATTGGGGAATCAAAATAACACAAATTGCATAATTTAGAATCAAAAGTGTAATTAATCTTAACTAATATATACGTGCATGTTCATGTAGTGGCTAATTTTGAACCATCAAATGATTCAGATCATTGTAGTGCAACAATTGTATCTGTATAACACCTTCAAGTTTAAACATTCTTAAAAGGATACGAATATATACAAATGTTGATCGCCATGACTTGCATACACGAACGCACTAGTCTTAGCATATCTACTATTATTAGTGAAATCCCCAAGACAAATTTGTATAAGAATATCTCTAGATGTGTGCTAATTCGCAGTTAAGATATATATATTTTTTAATCTCTAAACCGTGATATATTTTCTTTTGTTTTTTTATTGACGAAAGTTAGTTGCTAATTGTTAGATTAGCACATATGAGAGTTAACATTTTTACTTTTGCAAAGTATCAAGTGATTGCCTCTTTAATTCAATAATTGAGAGGGTAATTTATAAATAAATTGGACCGAGCTAAGGAAGAGGCTTCTTTGGAAATTGGGCCGCACATCGGACCAGAGCTGTCGTAGCTCAGTCTAAAAACTAACGAGCTTGGACCAGGAGAAATCTGGACCGAGTTAAGAGCCGAGGTGCTTGGGCTTCATAAGGTGGACCTCGCCCTTGTTAGCTCTGTCAAAGCTGGCTGCAGTTAGCTCGATCTAAACAAACAAAACCGAGGTACAAGTGAACAAGAGCCGAGCTATGTGTTGCATATGAAGGCGTTGGATTAAGTATAACAAAGGGCTAGTGTTAGCTCGGTCATATTGTTATCCAACCGTGGTTAAACTATCTCACTTGGTTTAAGCAGTGAGGAGGGTGTTGAGGGATAAACATTATCTTTTAGGAGTATGATTCCTAGGAAGACTCTACATTGAGGAATAAGAGTCCTACTAGGATTGTGCCAGGCAAAAACTATAACAGCTCATGACAGAACCTATATATAGGTATCACAATTTTGACTCTCGAATACACAGAGTTTTTTGCCTATTTTTCTGACTTAGGCATCGGAGAGGTATCTGGCACATACCCACCGACTAGCTCACATTTGTGTTTTCAGGGAGCAAAGCGACGAAGGAGCTCATACTTGATCAACGGGATTATACGAGAAGTTATTCTGCGCTTGTACAATAACCTTCCCTTAAGATTAAACTTTTAGGAGAATCACGGTAGCCAACTAGACTAGGCCTAGTTGGTTCTCTAAACCATGACACTTAGTCAAGACTGGAACAATTAACAAAAATGTGTTGATGAACAGGACTATAAATTTCGCCATTTTTGTACTTATGTCTCATTACTTAAGCAAGTGTGTAGGTGAGAAACATGTAAATTAAAATAAACAATTTTATGCTTAAAAAAATGAGTATAGAAGTGCTGAAAATTAAAATATTTGAAACAAGTTACAAACTTTCCCATGTGTCTATATATTTCATTACCTTTTGTCGAAATATTTGTATCTTCTTCAATTGAGACACCTGAAAAATAATCAAATTTCCGTTTTTAAGCTCTAACATATACTAGAAAAGATGAGACTTCATATAATATACATGTTTGCTAATTAAATGTGAAATATGGAATTACTAAAAGGGAAGCATCATACAAGAGTAGATGAGACGCTTAAAGTATCTTCCACCCTTGCTTTTGAAAGCAGATCGATTGCATACAAGAAGTTGAAGAGCAGTCATCCCATCTCGGTCCCTTTTTCCGACCAAATATTCGTACTTTGTGGCAATAAAAAGTGCCAAAGCTGTTCATATTGCACAAGAAGAAATTGATGAATAAAGCAAAGAAAGATAAGATGGATTTTAATTTGCTGATATCACTACTTACCAAATTCCTCCACAACAATGGAGGTGTGAAGTACAGTGTCATTGTTCTTCTTTTGATAAAAGGCCTTGCAATCTCCTCCTCTTACATCTCTCACAGTTCTGCAGATTCTGTTCACTTCATCATCAAGAAACTTAAACATATCCAATTTTCCAAACCGTGCCGCCCTGTAAAGAGCCGTCTCATCGAACTTGTTGCATATATTCAACAGCTGGGGCGCGATTCGCAGCATTTCTATGGCAGCAGGGAGTAATTTGTCAGAAGTAGCAGCCTCATGGAGGATGGTGTTTCCAACTCCATTTTGATGGGCCATTTTGTGAATATGATCTGAAGAGACCCTTGTGAGCAAATTAAGAACCAAGTTAGTTTGCTTAGAGTATGTGGCCATATGGAGGACTGTGTCACTGTGTATGGTTATCACATGCAATGGGCCATCTTGGAATTTTTCGCAGAGTTGAAGCACCTTGTTCTCTTCTTCTCTCATTAGAGCTATGTATATTTCTCTACTATCTTCGGCATAGTCAGCCATGGAAGCCATGAGAGAGAGAGAGAGAGAGCTGTTCAATAGTATCACAAAGTAAACAAGTGGAATGTAAATCCAGGTGTGAGAAATACATGGTAACTTACTATCTGCTTGGGCAGTCCCTTGAACCCATGGGTGCACCTGCAAGATCTCATAAGCATTAATAATTGGGCCAAACAGGGACCCATTTGATGCCTTGACCAAGGTCAGATTAAGAAACCCATTTGCAGTGAATTTCAAAATGACTGCTTTGTAATTAGAACTAAGTAGTTTAGTTTTTATTTTATTTTGTTTTCTGAAGTTTTATTTAATTTTCTTCTCTTCAATTAAAAAATAATAATAATAATAATAATAATAATAATAAATAATAATAATAAAAAAATTAAAAATAAACAAACAAAAACAAAAAAAGAAAAAAAAAAAGTGGGAATTGCATGTGGTACATTAATGGGCATATTTGTTCTTTCATATTTTATTTGATTCTCATGCTGGTTTCACGGGTATCTGTATTTCTTGTTGGTGTGTGCAGGATATGAGTCGACGTGTCTCTGCTCGGGCCTCCAAAAAGGCCAGGGGTGCCTCCTCTTCAGCGCCGCCACCACCACCACCACCACCATCACCACCATCCTCGCCACCACCACCAGGAGACTTGCCACGGCCGGAGTGGGCTTCACGGCCTCTTCACAAGCTCACACAGTTCAACCTGCCATTTCTCCAGCATGACGAGGACACTACTTGGGCGGTTGAGCAGCTCCGACTCCGCAACAGTTGGGCATTTGCGCCGTGACAGCGCCCACTTATCCTCGCCTGGTCCGATTATTCTACCAGAACCTGCATGAGACACCCACCACGGTTGGCCTGCTCTCTAACATTGATGGTCAAGTTGTCCACATCACCTCAGCCATGATTGCCACAGTGTTAGAGTTTTTCACCAAACCAGATTATCAGCCTTTCCCGGAAGTTGAGGATCAACAACCCATACATCGCCTCATCCAGCAATACTTCCCGGGCGCCCACGGTGACATCAGTTTCACATGCCTGCGGCGGAGCAAGCTCCCTAGCCGTTTGCTTTTCCTTGATTCTGTGGTCCATAAGAATGTCCTTCCACTTGGGCATCGAGCTGAGCTCCGTTTGGAGTTTGTGCGGGTTTTACACGGGTATCAGCTTGGCTATCAGGTCCCGCTTAAGGATTTCATTTTGCTGCATTTGCAGAAATTTCTACGTGAGGCAGTTCGGCCTACTCCTATGCAGAACCTGACTTGGCCCCTACCATTCGCCAATTTGTTGACACTTGTGTTTGAGCTGAACCACCTCCCCATTGCTGAGGATGAGGAGATTGATAGAGGGTATCCGACATTCGGCCAGCGGGAATGGCAGCACAGCATATCTCGCATCCTGCAGCCGGTAGGTGCCCCGGTTGATGAGGCCCAGGACCCCGTCCATGACCACCTAGCTCATCATGTTCCCCCCGTGCCTCCCCAAGGGGACCCACTCTACATGACCCGCGAGGAGTACTTACAGCTTCAACACTCTGTCGATCAGGTCCACCGTACTCTTCGTGATCACCACCAGAGTCTCATGGAGTTGCGCACGGATTTTCAGGCTCATCGCGACTATTCTCAGGCCCGCTTCGATCAGCTACACGCCGACAACCTCGCCATCCAGCAACAGGGTCAGGATAATGCCTTCGAGACGCGCGCTTTGATGCAAGCCTTGTTTGCCCAATATTTCCCACCACCACCACCACCACCGGCTTCTCCCTAGTACTGCCCAATATTTCCCACCACCACCCCCACCGGCTTCTCCGTAGTCCCCGCCTGTATACCTCTTTGTCTCTTTTATTTTTCCTTTTATTTTCCTTTTCTTTTTCATTTTTTTTTATAAAAAGAAATAAAAAAATAAAAAATAAAAAACAAACTAACAAAAAGGGGTGAAGTGTGTTTATGTTACTCTCTGCCTGCTTGGATGTACACCTACAATTCTGGTAATTTTCTCTCATTTCTCTTTACTTTTCCATTGAGGACAATGTTATATTCAAGTTGGGGGATGAGAGTTATATTTTCTTTGTGCATTCCTATTTGGCTCATAATTCATGCTTATACCTGTTTCACTTGATTGCATTACTTCACCTGATGTGACTTTTTGCTAGTAGGGTGATGATATTTGCATATGTTATTTGGAGATCATAGTAGACTTGTATGAAAAGGATTTATTGGGTAGATACTTGCATGCCATGTTTGCACGAGGAGAGTTGTCTATGTTTGCGGTATTAGTACACTTGTCATGAGTATGCCTTAATTCACATGAGCACACTATCATAGCAGTGATCTTTTTATTATAATCCCTGGTGTACATCATTGATAATAGCTAGAGTTGCAGAAAAGAATAAATGAGGAGCCAACTGGCAAAACAGTCTAATTTTGACATTATTTGATTTAAAATCGATTTTCCAAAAAGGTTTGTCGGATTTGGACTCTTTGGTGTTTATCAGTTTCACATTGCACTTTTTTTAACTCGAGTTATTAAGCCCGTAGGGGTGTCTTTACACCTAGTGCCCTAAAACTGTCTGGTTTGGGAGTCATTGGCCCAATACTTGCTACATGCGTAAATAAGAAAGCTTAAGGGACTTGAACATTGCACAGTTAAGGAAAAATAAGAAGAATGACTTGTTCGGATTCGTAGCTTTTTTAACTCGAGTTATTAAGCCCGTAGGGGTGTCTTTACACCTAGTGCCCTAAAACTGTCTGGTTTGGGAGTCATTGGCCCAATGCTTGTTACATGGGTTGATTAGAAAGCTTAATGGATCAGGACATTGCACAGTCATTTAAAAAAAAAAAAACAACTTTTGAAAATATTGGCTGCAACAGGTTAGTCTTTCTGTATATGATGGGTGTTATTATGAGTTACATTGGGCTATTATAGTGGATAGTTAACTAATATGGAGATTGCACTTTACACCGAGGGTACTCATGACTTGTCTACTAGCATGCACAAGTATAGGGAACTTTACTTTTGTATTAACTGAATTGTGGTTTTGACTCAATAGGTTCCTTCATGCTTGTCCACTGTGCCTTTAATGACTCATGATGTCTAAATATCACATTGTAGTGGCACATAAGTTGATTGTTAGGTGGAGTAGTGTGGTCATTTGTTGTTGAGTATATATGAATATGTTAATGTTTGTGGGTATCATTTCTGGAAACCCTCACGAGACTTTACTCGTCCACTTCGGGTAACTTTGTGGTTTAAAGGCTTGTTGCATATGCTAAATGCAATCGTTTTCCCACGAAAGAGGAAATTGATAGATTTTGTTTAATTTTATTTTATTTTACTTGCTTGAGGACTAGCAAGTAGTAAGTTGGGGGATGTGATTAAGGCCGAAATGTACATCATTGAGGCCGTTAATTAGAATCTCTTAACTTCACTTGCTGGTCAAACTGTATATTTTATGTGTGTTGAGTGTCAATCAGGTTGTACATCGTCGGAGCATAAAATGAGCAAAAAGACAGAATTTGGGCAGAGTTGACTTTCTCGCACGTGCGTTGACTTTTTTCGCACGCGCGTTGACTTTCTCGCACGTGCGTTGACTTTTCCGCACGTGCGTTGACTTTTTCTGGGAAAGTCAAGCCGACGTTTTAAACCTGTTTGGACGAGATTGGAAGTATAAAAAGGCAAGTAAAAGGCTGGATTAGGGTTCTGAAATTGTTTTGACCTAAAGAGGGAGGCTAGGGTTTGCAAAAGGAGGAAGAAAACAAGAAGCTTCAAAGATGTTTCCCATGGTGGTTCCTTCTCCATCTACCTCCTCCCACTCCTCCATGAGTGGCTAGTCTTCTTTTCTAGGGTTTTGATGAAACCCTAGCCATGTAATTATGTAGTTTTCTCTTTTGATTTTATATTATGTAAGGTTTGAACCATTGTATGGTGTTTTAGAAATTCTTTATATATAATTTTCATTATCTCTTCAAATATTTGACTTTCTGTGATTGTTGAATATTATCCATACATGAGTGGAAATCCACCGAGGGTAGTGCACTTCCTGGATTGCTCGTGCCTTAAGCAGGTTCTTCACCTCCTCCGCAACTACCTCGGCGTGATGCAGTGCCGATCTCCTTATTCGCTGGATGACTAGCTTTGCTCTAGGGAAGACGTTGAGGTGATGGCAGATAAAACTTGGATCGAGGCCAGGCATGTCGTAAGGCGACCACGCGAAGACTTCGATGTTGGCCATCAAAAACTCAACCATCTCGGTCCTCTCTTGGGCAGTAAGGCTGGAACCGAGCAGGAAGAACTTATCCGGCCGCTCTATATCGAGTCGCACCTCAACCAGGTCCTCCACAGCTTTGTCCTCTGCCTTAGTGCCCACATCCTCCAGAACTCCTCGGTCTTCCGGTCCTTCTATCATTTGCACGAACCCTTTGGCAGCCCGGCTGCCGTTCACCGCCACGAAGCACTGTTTGGACATGACTTGATCCCCCCAGATCTCCTCGATTGCCCCCATAGCCGAGGGGAATCTCATCACCTGGTGGTAGGTCGACGCTACAGCTTGCATAGCGTGAAGCCATCCCCTTCCCAGGATAAGGTTGTACGTCGAAGGCACTTGTAGCACCTAAAACTCCACTTGCTTGACCACGGATCCCGCTTTGACCGGCAGGATAATCTTTCCCAAGGGCCACTCCGGCTGCGAGTTGAAACCAACCAGTGGCAAAGTTGCCGGAGCCAAGTCTGTCTCACGGAGTGTGAGCTGCTTGAACGCATCATAATACATGATCTGGACCGAGCTTCCCTGATCGATCAAGATCCGTTTAACATCAAATTCCTTGACGCGTAGTGTTACTACTAGGGCGTCGTTGTGCGGCGTCTGGATACGCTCTAGATCCTTTGAGGTGAACTAATCACGTCTTTTTCTTCAGTCTTCCCCCTTTTGATGGCAGGCTGTACCGACAAAACTTCCCTCATATGTTCTGCCTTTTTTATCATGCCCCAGAGTTCGCAAACACGCTCTGGTTCCACGATGCCGTGGATGACATTAATAACTCCCTGTGGTGGTGTGTCTCGGTCGTCCTGTTCCCTGGGCTCGACTGGAGCCTGATTCGGCTTCACGCCGCCATCAATGTAAAGGTCTAAGTGCCCAGCCGCGACCAGCTCTTCTAAGTGTTGCCTTAAAGGCAAACAATCCCCAGTCCGGTGGCCTCGCTCCCGATGAAACGTACAACGATACCGCGGATTGTAGCCCTTTTGTCCATCGCCCAACTTAGC